GCGGCGACGGAAGAGCTGCTCAGAGACTTAGCAGAGGTATGGCAGACTTGTCACCACTCGATTAACTCTAGGAAGTGACTGTTTATCTTAACTTTTCAGTACAAATCCTACAAAAACAAGAACGTTTCAATGGCGGCTCGTTCTCTGATCACGCTCTTCCGTGCCGTTAACCCTCGTTTGCTTGCCAGAAAAGATCGTGGTCGACCGAATGAAGTTGACGACGAGAAGGAGTGAGTCTGTTGCATTGGTGCAAATGCATGCTTTTTTGCTCTATTCCTTTTGGTTTAGGTTCTTAGCGTTTGCGAAACCTTCGATCGCAGAATTCGTATCCGGTGCAGAAGTGCTCGATGAAAATCGTGAGGATACTGGAGAAATGGAAGTTGATGAAGGTGATGACAGCGACGGTAGTTTAGAGATAAGCGGTAAGTCTTTCATCCGGGTACAGTTTAAGTCTGAGAGATTTCTGATAAGTCTCGAGAAGTTTTGAGCTAATCCACTATATTCTTTAGATGATGATGTAGATGAAATTGATTCTGATGATGAATCTCCTCCGACTAAAGAAGAGGCAGCTGATGTAGAACATGAAGTCGACGAAAGTGACGAGGATGAAGATGATGACGAAGAGAGTCGAGGAGTTGGCGATGAGCATGACAAGGGGGACGAAGAAGATAAGGTAACGCTGGAAATGCGTTCATGTAGTTGTTGACAGAATCTACTCATTTATTTCATCTCAAACGACTCGTTATTACAATTATCTGTGCGGATCCCGGAACTTCCTGGATTCAATTCGTTCGTTTGCCTTCATCCTCCTCAAAGGTCTTTCAACATTCCACATGATACTTCAAGTGCTTCGGCTGCTAATTGAGCATTTCGTCTTCTTTATGAATCTCTCTAAAATGGGTGGAGGCGAGTCTCCTTGCAGTCTTGGAGATAGCCGAGCTAATGCTTCTAAGCGTTCACTTGGCTTTTTGCGAGAGTGTTTTAATGAGGAGGTCGAATCAGCATGTTGCGTATTGAATCACGTTTTTCTGATGCTCTGCATCGCGAGCCACTGCCCACCCCAGCCTTGTTGACAAGTTTTTCCTCTAGATATCATATGAAGCTATTCCATCGGTGTCCTGAAACCTTTCACGACAACATTTAATTTCGTGTGCCTGACCTAGCGGACTAAGTTGCCTAATTTTTAGCTGTTATGTCGAAGCTGGTTTTTTTTCTAGATTGAACAATTTCTTTTCATCGGAAAAAATGAGGGATTGTGAACATGACAAGATTGTAGAACAGACTTCTCTGTATGGTGTTATGGGTCATGAAACATACATAATGATGACTACTGACAGCTGCGATACTTTGTACAGCAGAAAGAGTTATAGCAGAATTGAGATACTAGTAGTGCAGTGGTTAGCACGCGTTCCCGAGAAGGGTGAGATGCGAGTACAACTTTTCCCCAAGGTTCAAAGCTTTGAATATCTCTCGGCATTTTTGGATATTTACATACTATTTTTTTGAAGTTCTCTGCAAGTCTCACAACTTCTTTTTACCGCTTTCATACAGTGTTATGGCGTCATAATTATATATTCAGTTATGCTGACTAAGATACAGGACTTTTGACCCCGAGCGAGAGTTTGATTCGCCTTCGTCTATATTAGGGTCATGAGCTACCACTATCCCGCCCCCGAGGCCATTGTTCTGTCACCCTCTACTTTTCTGCTCTTATAGTAGTATTATGTTGTTGTAATTATATCAAACGGCCCGGTTTGGATGAAACCCAGGTTCTATACCCGCCTGCGGTAATCTCGGCCTCATGGTGAAAGTCATTCTCAAAGATCCACAATCACATATAGAGGCTAGCGTTTCTGCTTCCATGTTAACATGCTTCCATGTTCCATGGGACGAAGAATAGAGCTCCCGGCTATGATCAATTCCTTAAAGATGAGCCAAGTGTTTTGACATCATCAAGCATTGTTAGAGATAACTGAATACATATCTGACCTTTACAGTGACTCATGCTGGCTTATCGATGCTTGAAGTTAGTGCTGCTATCCATCCAATTTAGTCTGGTACCAATTCATGGACTCTGGGGGGAGGGGAAGCCTCGGTGAACATTGAGTGCGGATTGAACTATGGACCACGTTTGTGTCGCCTAGTGACCCTGCAACACGCGTTCCTGTGATTCTTTATAGCAAATGTGATTGAAGTATCAGCCGATTACCACACAAATTTTTGATCAGAAAATCCGATCGAAAAACGATTTTATGTGTTTTTATGAGTAACAGTAAGGACTTTTTCCTGACCAGATCTCGACACGACATCGTTGTTGTACAAGCTGTCATCTCTTTCTAATCGAAGGTCTACAAAAAGTCTGGAAAAACTCTGTGAACCGAAAAAATCAGTGAAAACAGGCGCATTGAAATCAATACGTACAGTCCACGGTGTCCGCCAGCCCACTTATCGAAATCTATACTCCTAGTCGTGAAAGAATTGAAACCATTCCTTGTGGTGTACGATTTTAGCTCCGTATACTTTGTGTCGTTCTCTTCCAAACAATACCTATATTCCAGAAATACGTATGCAGCGAGGAGGACCATCACGATGATACTGAGGTGATTTTTACCTCTTTTCCGAAGAATCAACTTATAATATAAAGTACTTATCTGAGGCAATTTAGATGTGTGTTGATGTAAGTGGCTCTCATGCCGAACGAGAAAAAGATGGTGAAGTAGATCCAAAAAAGAAGGCGGCATTGATCAGTTCAAATAGGATTCTTACACAGGTACAATCCTTTTTTCAGTGCATATTCTGATCGTAGTCATATTTATTCTATGAAAATTTTGAATTTTTTGGTTTTTGCAAACACTGGTACCTTTTGCTTCTACAGAGTGATCATTAGCCCGTTTGATACGACATGTAGCGAAAGCGGTACAGGTCTGTCAGCATCACTTGGCTGACTAATGAGCATTGGCACAACTTTTTTTCTTTTTTATCTCATTCTCGGGAAGTGAACAATAGAATGACTGTCTCAGTGAATAGTGGTGCGTTACCTTTGTGAGGTCCTACAGGAAATACCTACTGAAACAGGCATACTCAATTATTATCCTCTAATCGACGAAAAAGCCACTGGGCGGACGGACTGTTTTGAATCCCGTTTGTGCGCTCAAACAGATGAAAGTCTTTAGTTTCTTGTAACTTTTAACCGAATAGAAGGTAAAAGTTCTCAGTGTTGATCAATCCCTGAGATTCGCATCATCTATTAGACTTCACCCAAGCATCGTTTGAACTGACCTAAATGTATATTTGACCTTTACAATGACTCACGGTGGGCTACCTCTGTATCCAGTCAGTGCTGCGCGATCCTCCCAGACAAGTTTGGTACCAATTCGCCAACCCCGGAGAGATGGCGGGCTTGGTGAGCCTCGAGCGCGGATCGAATCGTCGACCACGTATGTGTCGCAAGGCTGTGCTAACCACTGTGCTGTGCCCATGCGCTCCCTATAAATGAGATAATAGGCGGTCTTAGCGGGTATGTAAAGATAATTGTTTAAGGAGGAATTCAAACAAATTCGAGTATATCAACTGAAAAAGAAACTCATTGGGGAAAAGCGACTGAAGAAGCAGCTTGGATCAAGTGCAAAGAACGATGATATCAAACTAGTAGAAGAGTTAGGTGAACGAATGGAAAGGTAGAGTTCATCTACTCACTACTGTTCTTTTTTGCTTACTTTTTCTTTTCACAATCGTTTTTTTTTTTTTTCCTCTCTAGACGGGGTGATGGCGACGGTCTACCGCGCCTAAAGGATATCGAGCAGTTCCACAAAAAGAAGAAGCAAACGAAAGAAGAACGTCTAGCTGGTATCAGAGAGGGACGCGATGAGAATCATAAATTTGGCCGACCAAAGAAGAGCGTAAGTTGTTTGGAATTCATTTACAGTACTTGAAGCCAGTTGCTTTCCGGATTTGTAGATTATCTGAATCCCAACAATTTTCAGGGTCCACATGTCGGACGGACCAATCGGGAATTGGCAAAGAAGAAAGTGTTCAGCATGGTTAAAGCGAAGGTTATCACTTTTTTCTTTCTACTACTTTGAATTACTTTCACTTTTAATAGCAACATATGTTGAAAATATCGATATGGCAATCTGAATTTAACCCTCTGTGGACGACACTTTTTTTTCTCATCGTTTTCGCAAACGGCGCGCGATTTTTGTTGTTTAGAAGGGGTTTTTTCTTTGTTGAGGAAAAACTTTGATTTTTTTGTATCACTCTAATACTTCATAATTTTCTCCACACGCTCATATACTTTTTGCGCATATGTAACTCTTATGTGTGCAGAAAACTCCGGGTGTAAAATGTAATCGTCTTTTTGCTCCTACGGCCCCACCATAGAGACTTTTCGGAAGACCATTTTGGCTTCGACATCGCGAAAATCAGTCTGTCGCTTGAGATTTCCTCCAGCCTAATGAAAAGCCAGCCACAGACCCTAGCCGTGGCAAACATAGCAATCCGAGTGTGAAACATAATTTTGTTCTCGCTTCTACAGCACCCTAACACGAGTTTTTCCAGAATTTTGAATAGTATTGGAATCGCTGTGATTTAAGCGTTTGAATGGGTACTAGAATTCTGTTGGAAATGCTCTGTACAGCAAAAAAGATCTGTATAATGTCGTGCATTGGAAACTATGCACCACGTTCTTATAGAGTTGAAGTATCTACATGCCAAATGTGAACGAAGTTGAAGCTCCTGGTAATAAACCCTTATTGTCCAGGTTCGAGGAAGAAATCGACAACGTTCGTTCCGAGATCAACAGAAGAGCCTACGAAACTATCTTTTTCGTCAGAGTGGTCGTAAGCCAAAGTAACCTAACTACGACTACTACTTCAACTCCGTTTGACTCTCTAGTCCTTCCTTATCGGTTAATCTTCCATGTTGGCTGTTATTGTTGTTGGCCATTAAATAAAGCTACGTTTAGTGTATATCTAGAAGTGTTAGTGGTATACAAAACAATCTATCCCAGGCGGGAGTTGAACCCGCGTTTTACCTACACCGGAAGCGTGTGCTACCACTAAACCACAGAGGCCACCTGCTTGACTACCACTTTTCTTCCGACTTGAAGTATTTAGAGTACGTTGAAAGGTCATACTGTACGTGTACTGGCCACTACTTAGTGATCCGCCTGTAAAAACATTTTAAAAATTTATAGCCTACATATACATATTCGAACAAAATGAATGCAGAAAGTGTCCATGACGATTTCTCAGACACAATGTGCTAAAGTGAAATAAATATGATGTAACGATTCAGTGCAAAGCAGTAAGGATTGCTATATGCATTGTATTCGAGTCCTAATACATTAGATGAAAACTTAGGCAGTTAACCCACAAACAGGCCTGGCCAAGGTCACCACGGTTTGGTGAGCTATAGGGATGTATACAAGTGTCTATCTACATGGATCTACTTCTTAACCCTTTCGGGACCGTGACCTAGGCCTCCGCACTTTAAGCCCAACGCTGGTTGGTCGGCCCCTCCTCTATATCTCTGACTCACAGCTTGTTGCGTCTAAGAATGACAAGCTAGGGGTTGGAGATTCTGAGGAGGTGGAGCAGACTATCCGGCATAGGGGTTAAAGATGCAGAGGGCGGTCCCGAAAGTGCCAAACGTGAGTTCAGAATGCCTGATATGTGGTGAATATCAGATAACTGAGTAAGTAAATTGAGTTGATATCAATTCGAATGAGTACACATGAAGGTCAAAGGTCAAAAAGTGACGAAATATTAGCAATAATCTCGTGAAGATGTGAGGCGAAATGGCATAATCATAAGAGTATAAGTTCAGTTGGCTACAGCATGTGCAGGAAGTACCTCAGGATCATCGTTCTTCGCTGGATTGTCTGAAGAATGGAAAAATTTTAATCGTGAATGATTTCTTCCGAAATAATTACATGCCAGCTATGACCTTGAAGTGGATCCGGGAGTTTGGCCGCCTTCCTCAGCTCCTCGATAACCTCGCTTACTGGCCGGAACATCATTCCTGGACGAAAGATGAGGTGTCGTGAGAAGAAACCAAGCTAGAAAATACAATCTACTAAAATTCTTCGTTCTGTTATCGCTCTCATAACACTGTTATGATGTTGTAATTATATGTCCAAGGACGCTGAGTGATATGCAAAATCTTCTACCTCAAGCGGAGTTGAACCAGCGTCTCAACCATATGGGCGCCACGTATGGGTCAAACGAGAACTCAACTCCTGCCTAGGGTTAAAAACTTTTCCATAACACTCACCATCCCGTCTTAAAAAGTATATCGGTTCTTTCTAATTAGGAGGGAACAGATGGAAAACCGATCTCATTTGCTAGAGAAGAAATTCTCATAGGGGTGTCAGTAGCCATTCGAAAGCGAAGACTTCAGACCACATCCCCACGCCGCCAGTTTTTCAATACACCCCTTTACAACGCTGTAACATTCAAAATAAAATCATGTTTCATAAAACCACGCGCTTTTTTATCTTTTATCGCGCTTATATTTCTCTGGACAGAACTCCTTCCTTAGATTCCTAATAAGCAAACTATAGTACAAGCTTCATAGAACTCAAGAAAAATGTGTTAGCTTTTTGTTAAGCTCCTTCTATTTGATCTCCAGTGGTTTTTTGATTTGTGCTTCTAACCTCTCCGGACTTAGCTCTTTCTTTAGACTGTTAGTAGTCATCTAACAGCATAATCTCTCTTAAATCTAGCGGTGTGCTTATTTTCTGGAAACACGGTTTAGCAGGGAAAACAAAGTCGAGTTTTACATTTTGGCAACGTTATTTACAGGCTATTCGAGAAGGAGACGGGCGCGACAGGGAGCGTGGCAGGAGCGGGCTGAGGCGGAACGATTAATATATTGATATTGAATGGGGGATTTTTCCTCCGCTTTGGAAGAAACTCCAAATAAAACGATATATTGAGATACTACGAAAATTCCTCTACACATTGATATGCTCTTCGGCTTCCAGAGATATATACGCGTGATAAAAATGAAGGCGAAAGACGAGTAAGAACATTATTTTTAATCTGGATGCTACAATGTTATAAAGGGGTGTTTGGAAAACCGGCGACGTAGGCGATAGCCTCAAGTCTTAGCTTTCGAATGGCTACTAACACTCCTATTAAAGTTTTTTCGCTAGCGAATGAGATCAACTTTTCATTTGTTCCCTCCTAATCAGAAAGAACAAGTAATCTCATGTCGTTAACAAAAGACAAACAGCCACCATTCTAACACTAAGCCTTCCGGTGAACCCACGGCCTCCGCACTCTAACCTCCAACTTTGGAGGGTCTGCTCCACCTATCTGCATCTTAGATCCTCAGCTTGCCACCGTTAGAAGCAGCACGCTGGAGGTTAAAGATGCAGTGGAGGTGGAGCAGACCGTTCGGAGTTTCAAGTTAGAGACCCAGAGGCTGTGAGTGCACGGTCCCAAAAGGGTTAACCGCGTAAAATTTAAAGCGAGGAACGTGTGGCTCACATTTTCCACGATGTTCTGTCGCTCGAAGTATTTGGGTTGCCATGATAAGGGTTGGTAAACTTCCTATTAGAACTGGTTCTTTGTAAATACTTCTCATCGATGGCAAAAACAATACTGTGAGAGAGCCACTCGTTTCTAATTTAAAATACCTTGTGATGGAGGAAGTTCCCCCCCCCCCCCCGCCCCTATTCTACTCCTCGTCTGTCTTCATTTCTCTTAAATCAAAATGGATGAAAGACAAAGCTCTCGGCGTTGAACAGTCTCCCTGACGGACGTGTTATGCATTGGATTCCATTCGTAGTATCACAGAAATGACTAATGGCATATTTGCCCTTTACAACGACTTGCAGTAGCCTACCGATATATCATTTCAGTGCTACTCTCTTCCAGACAAATCTGGCACCAATTCACTGACTCGTTAAGGATGAAAGGCTTGGTGAGCTTTGAGGGCGAGATCGAACCATCAACCACGTGTGCGTCGCAAGGCACCTCTCACCACTGCACTACACCTGTCCCACATTTGGAGAATACCTTACAGTATCTGATAAAATGCTTACTTCTTTGATCGGATAGAGGATGTGCATATGCAAATGATGTTCAGTGATCAGTGGTGGCCAATGAAATCCGATTCGAAGCATGTCCTCGATCGTGTCGGCTTCTCCCTTTGCTTTCAGTTCGACCCGGAGAAATTCTCGACCCGTCTTCTCCATGTCGATTACTGTAAGAGAGGAAAAGAACTACGATTGGTTACAAAAATTCTGCGTTTTAGCATGAAGAAATCTTTCTGATTTACGTCATCACACAGACATTTCCATTATGGAAGTTATTCATCCGGTTCTTTTCCGTTGAACGGAAATAATGAAGAAACGACCCTCCCCCCGCTGGACAAGAACTTTTCATAGGACTGTCAATAATCATTTGAAAGCTTGAATCTCTAGTTAGTGCGCTACGGTCGCTATTTCATGAAAAAACCTTTTTATAATGCTTCATCAAAAGGAAAATATTTGTGTTTGACGCGCGCATATTTCTAGCACGACAGAACTCCTTATTTAAATTGTAAATGACCATTCGATAGTGTAAGTTTCGACCATTCAAATGCTGTGCTTACTTTATGGAAAGACCGTTTCACTGCAGTGTAGCAATGAAAATACGATCGAGTTTCACATATTTAGCGCGCTGTTTATCGGCTAGTGTGCGGTCTGGGGGTCTTATGATCGTAGATTCGATGCGGCATTCTGCGATCGATCGATAGATCGATCGATGGCGCTGGGCGGCTCACATGTGAAGTGCGATTTTTGTTATTCAAATAGGAATTTCTTCTTCGCTTCGTTAGAAATTCTAGATAAAATGTATGGCTTAGGTGATACCGGATTTGCTCTATACGCCCACATGCTCTTCGCGCTTCGGGCGAAGTGACAGTGAAAGCTTGGGGACGGTGTAAAACATAATGTTATTTCGAATGCTATAGCGGTGTACGTAGGTCTCTGCAATAAGGGAGCACGTAGCTCACTAGCCGGAGATTCGAGCTTTCGAATGACTACTAAGACTCTTATATAACCTCTTGCCCAGGGAGAGGGGCCGTTTTTTATTTCCGTGCCGTCTAACGGAAAAGTCAGACCTTTCTGACCACAGTTTTAACAGTTTCAACAAATTTCACCTTGACAGCTACTACTGAATTTCTTAACCATTTCGGGACCATGGACAAACCTCCTTTGCATCTCTGACCTCCAGCTTGGGAACGCACTTAATGTAATATTATATTATTTCATATATAATATAAGTGCTCTTGGTTTCCTATGTTCTTTAACTTAAGAGAAATGAGTGGTGAGCAAAATCATTTTTATATTTTATGTTATTTAAAATGTTATCTTATATGTATATATATTATGTTGTTATAGTAGGAAGATAACAACAATAATACAGCTGAAATAACCCAACAATACATTCAATGCGTCTCAGGCTGGGGGTTAGAGATGCAGAGGAGGTGGAGTAGACCGCCCAGTGTTATCACCCTGGGGGGTCAGAGATGGAGAACGTGTGGGTACAGTCCCGAACGGGTTAACTATGATGCTTATAGAACCTCAAAAAATCCTTCTTATAGAGATTTCCTTAATAAGTATTATGAAAAGTGCAATATGAATGGAAAGACATACGAAGTGGAATATCCGCAGCTGTGAGATCTGTTGGCTTGTTGATATGAGCTTTACTGACTGCAAGGAAATGATGTGGAGTTTTCGGTTTGATGTCACGAATAATCACGCACTGAAAAGTCTGTTAGTAGAGAATTCTCAAGAACACTACGATTTCATCTAAGAGTATTGACTGTTATGCAAAACATTTGACCCTGGGCAGGAGGTGAACCCGCGTCCCACACATAATGGGCTTGCGTGCTACCACTACACCACCAAGACCATTGGTCTGCTACCACTCTCTCTTCGATACATCCTATTCCGAATAGATGGGTAGCTTAATTGGGTTCAGTGCCATTATGTGCTTATCAGACCAAACCCATTAACGGCTTGTTGCTGATAGCTTCGATATCTAAGGAAGAATGGTTCAGACAGCCTCGCTATGGATA